ATAGAATTATGGAGATTGTTGTTAGTAACAGAAATCATGAATCAGTGATTGTTAGACTATTAAATAAACTTGGTTGAAGCACTGAACGACCGTTTCGTCGTGGCATACGACTCGTCATCAGTGCTCATCCAGCACGCAAGGCGGAAGGTCCAAAGTTTATAAGTCTATGAGTACCAGGAGTCGTAGATGCTTATAGACACTGATGATTCACATACCAAGACGAAACGGCCGTCTTTCGTTGCTTCTAGGTTTCTAATAATGGTCTACCAATGATCAATACATTATTTCAGTGAAACTCAACAATCTTCACAACCGTATAATGGAAATCCGCTTGTATATTGAAATGAAACATTTCAGTATCTTCAGAGAAAATGTAAAATCACAAGTCACAATGCCGATTGGATATTTAGCCATACCAGTACTCTATCTAGTAAGGTTCCTGAAACTTGCAGAATGTCACCAGTAACCCTGTAAATACCCTCATTTCTTGTACATAAACAAATCAATGCGTTCTTTGTGTACTTTGCACCATTTAACAAACCTCAACCAAGTGGTGTACATTTACCAACATGGCTCAGTCCAGAGTTGACTGCATGGTGACTGCATGGATTTGTGCCATGTTTTGGTTTGGCCGCTCCCATAGCTTTTATTCCAACCTAATTCTTCTACACCGAAATAAACATAAAAACAGCTGATTTGATTAAAAGATCATATATACATACACTACACATAACAAAAACGCACACGCACACACACACACAACAAATAAATTTCCTTCTTTCATCTCTATATATCAACAACACATCTTCAATGGATATGTTTAGAATTTTCTTTGCTTCAATTCATTGAGTAAATCAATAAAAATGATTGACTGACATACTGATTGTGAATTGCATTCAATAAATATTGATTATAAAATAAATTTATTTTATTCTTCATTTATGATGGGGATATAGTAAGAGGTGGGTGGTGGTGGAGAAAGGGAAAAATTAAATTTTCATCCAAAAAAAGGAGAAAAAAAAATTAATTTCAATCAATAAGATGAAGAAAGCAACAAAAACAACAAATAACAACAACAACACGACTAGTTGCTATGGGAAGAAAGCAGAAAAGAAAAACCAACTAAGTCTCATGACTTTGCTGTTTCTTAAAGGAGAGAAATAATCCTAAATGTGTCACATTGATTTCCTGATCGATAAATTATGTCATAGAACAAAATCCTAATTAAATTAAATCGTTTCATTGAATAGATCATTGTAAGACAAGCCTATTGGAAGCCTGGAAAGAGAAACTAGGTGACTGTTTCGTCCCAATGTTGGGGATTCATCAGTGGCAGTGCGCATCCATGACTCCAGCTGACGGGAATCGGACCGAAGACTTTCGATGACGTGAAGTGAGTGAATGTTAAACCTCTAGAACATTGAGTTGGTGACATCTAACGATTTTCATGTTTAACATTGAATTGACTGAAGTTAGGCATTATTGTAAGTCATCATTTGTTGTCGATCATGATTAATATGGACTGTGGATAATAAATTCCACCATTGTTTACCGTTTTGACGAACCAATTTAAGAACCATTCAGAATGAAAGAGGGAATTTTTGATTATTTTAATCTCTGGGCTATTATTCACAATGTTCACTGAATGTCAATCCAGCAACTTAAAACTTCGTACATTCGTGTACATCAGTTCGAGTTGCCGCCTAACATTAGCACACAGAAACACGCGAATCCCATATTTGTAGAGCTAATAGAATTATTAGCAGTAATGAAGAAGATTAGAGTTCGAAGATATGATTCGAGAAATTTAATGCAGTGAAGTAAATTTAAAAACTGGAAAGTATAGGTAATGAGGAATTCAGAAGATTAGAATTTTGAGAGAACACGAATAATGGATGCATCTGTGCCACTTGAGGATACTTCATTCTAAAGTCATAGTTTTCACTGACAGTGTGTAGACAATTAAAATGTATGAAGTGGAAATTGGGACAACTTTAGAAACCATCATCCAGAAGATACAAGTGTTAATTAACAGGTGTCTACGCAAAATACTTCGGATCCGTTAACCAGCCAACATCAGTAACAACCTATTGTTTGGAGAGAACAAATCAGATTCTAGCTGGTGAAGAAAACAGGTGGGAGCGGTGGAAGTGGATAGGACATACATGGTGGAAATCATCCAACTGCATCACACTCCCTCATCAGGAATCCTCAAGGCCAAAGGAAGACCAAAAAAAACATTACACCGAGAAATGGCGATAGACATCAGAAGAATGAACACCGATTGGACAAAACTAAAAAGGAAAGCTAAGGTCATAGTAGGTAATTAATGCTAATCGATGGCCTATGCTCCATTGGGGGGGGGGGGGACAGGCTTAAGTAAGTAAAGTAATGCAAGATACTTCGGATACGATAGCTAGATAGCATCAGTAACAAACTAGTGTGCTAGAGAACAAACCAGACTCAAACTAAGAAAGAAATTAGCAGGTGTATAGGGCACACATTGTAGAAATCACCCAACCGAATCACAAGGCAAGCTCTAACTTGGAAACCACAAAGTCAAAGAAAAGGAGACAGATTAAAGAACACATTACGCCGAGAACTGGAATTAGTCATCAAAACGAATGAATATCACTTAGCGAGCACGAAAAAGGAGGTAGGAGAAGACAGTTGGTTGAAGAATACTACTGATCCGATAGATAGCCTATAATCCATAATCAAAGAAACAGATGCAGTGATTGGAACCTATTTATCATTTCATGTGAATGAAAAAACATATATATAGCTGTGTTTGTAATTCTCTAAAATAAACCTAATTCAGTCAATCATTAATGACTTGTTGACATTGATTGCATAAGAACAAGGAATAGTGTAACGTTATTTTCTATTTTCGTATTACTATGAAAAAGTTTAATGATCTAATTATATGCGTTATATAAGTAGTATTAATGAAATGGATTTTACTAACTAAGCTACCTATAACAACAATAAATAGAAAAAAAGTTTGAATAATTGAAAAAAATTTTTTTATGTAAATTAGTTGAAACATGTTATGATAATCAGTATTATTATTATTCAGTCAGTTAGTCAGTCAGCTACAATGTTACAACGTACACCAGTGTTCAAGTTGTCATATCACATTAGCACACAGAGATATGACATTGTCAATTCAAATATCATAGTTGTTGAGGCAATAGAAGTAGTATAAGTAGTGATGAAGATATGATTCAAGAAGTATAATTCATTGAAGTAAACTTAAAAAGCGAACATGAAGAATGGATACACCTGAGCTATTGTAAATGATTTTGATTCGTGTCATTCAAAGTCTCTAATCATCGGTTACTATTGTCTCGTGAAACCCAATCTGTTACTTTACATCTATTAACATGGTTCAGTTCAACTGTTAGGTGACTTCAACAATTTGTATCCATATTTCAATTTGTCCGCCTCAATCTTTCTTCTCATTTTAACTCAACTAGATTATTATTATTATTATGATTATTATTAATAATAATAAAAACTACTAGTAGAGTATTAATTAAGTAATATAGTGAATCAATTAAAATTGTACATGATTAGAAATTTTTACAGTGGTCCAGGAGTTAAGCGTTTACGGGCAGAACCGGAAATCCTAAGGTTCCAATCCTACAAGAGTATCAGGAGTTGTGGATACGTACTACCATCAATAAGTCCCATACCATGACGAAAGAGGGTCTGTCTAATGCTTCGCTTAAGTTTCTCTAATGATGGTCTAAAACAATAATTGATTCATGTTTTCAATATTGGATAATTCATTTTTTTTTATTAGTCTAAAGGTTAAGAGTTCATTTAAAGTTCAGTGACAAAAAATCACTAGACAGTTTGACAATAAAATGAAAAGAAGTTATAAAGTACTTTCTGAATTATATATATATATATATATATATATATCCTGTGTGGATGATGATTTGATAGTGTTTTTAGGTTACAAACATTATATTACCAGAAGGATGGATAATAGTTATCAGTGGAATTTAGAATACACATTTCATTCTATGTAGATATACCTACATTTCAAAATCCTTAAGTGAATATCAACTGTACGATGTAGATGCATTGAACTTATGATAATGAGTTCCAAGTAGAATGATACACATGTCTTGGATTTCGTCTATCTAATCTACTTTGCAGAAATAATTCTTAAACTAGTTAGTCAGCTACAATGTAGAACTTCGTAACCACGCACATTTGTACATCACTGTTCAAGCTGACATACCGAATTAGCACATAAAGACATGGAATTGTCAATTCAAATTACTTAGTTATATAGGTAGTAGAAGTATTGGCAGTAATGAAGGAGATTATAGTTCGGAGCGATTATTCAAGAAGTATAATCCAGGGAAGTAAATTTAATAAGAGGAAAGTGATATTTAAAAGGAATACAGAAGTTTGGAATTTGAGAGAAGACAAATTATAGATGCATCTGTGACATTACAAACGATTTTGAGACATATCATTCAAAGTCTTTAACTATCAGTTACGATTGTCTCGTTGACTCCAACCAGATAGTCTGCATTCAATAACAAGGTGAGTTCAGTTGTCAGTGGTGACTTCATGGATTTGTGCCATGTTTTGGTTTGGCTGCCCCTAGCTTTCTCCCTGCCTTTCAAGTACATCAGACAACGTTACTCGTCAAAGTCGTTGGTGGTTAGGCATATGTCTCAACCACCTCAGCGAATACAGATTCATTTGATATACTACCCCTACCCAGCACCATTTTCCCTAACCTCTAGTATTACCAACTAAATGTTCTCACGGTATAACAGCAATACTTAAAAGATATCTCAGGTCGAATACTAGCAACCTACAACTATTCCCTATTCTTAATGCATGTATTTCACACCAATAAAATATCCATCATTTCACCTTATCTAATCATTTCCTTTTTACAAAATCCGAAACATGTCACAATTTAAATAAAACTATAGTATAAGAAATCTATTCATTAATTATTCACTTACCATAAAACTATTCAATGGTCTTGGTATACTATCTTTTTTACGTTTCTTTTTTGATTCAGTAATAATTGTATAAGGATGTAATGCATTTGTACCAGTTAGACGTAGTACTCGATCACTTGGCCATTCAGTTGGTATTACATGTTCATCTGTTAAATGTTGCATCCATACTTGTAAACCGCCAAGTTTCGCTGTTGTACACTGATCACAATCTTTCATCCACATTATTTTTTTAAATATGTATATATGTATGAATGTATGTATATTTTGTTTTCAAAATTCACTAGAAAGCACAATGGATAACAATGTTTGTTTAAAATGAATTGATCTATTGTGGTTGTTACTTTTTTTTGTTAGGAATGATTTGTAGACATTGAAAAATATGATGAATTTTGTTTGTTTGTTTGTTTTTTTAAATAGCCCATAAAATCATGATTGGATGATGATGATGAATAAACCACATAACCCAATTGAACACCTAAGACCACAATGTGTTATACGAAAAAAAAAAACCCAACAAATTGAAAATTAAAATGAGGAAATTATCGTGTGATTTGACAATTTATATAGTTGACAGATGTGGGAAGCCAAATAAAATTAATGGTAGACAGAATAGACCAATGATAGAGTTTGTGCCCTAGAGCTAATGTATATCTCTGTCTGTATGTAAATAAATATATATATCTATATGCATATATACATAATATAGATAAGTGTATGTGTGTGTATTTTCTAAATCACCTTGACACATGTAGTCCTTTCTATGTGACCGTTATTATTACTAATATCATTATTAGTAATAATAATTGTAATAATAGACAGGGGTTGGATGGATTATCAATCTATGCCTTTTTGATGATCGTATCTTCTTACATGTATATAGGTATAGGTAAAAAGGTATGATATGAGTTCAAAAACAAACCTGAGACTATTTGTGTGTATTTTATTTTTTAAAATCGGTAAACACGTGGCTTACCCAATGCAAAAAGGTTACCTTTTTAAGTATTCCATATGTATATCACAGTATATGTCTGTCTGTCTATCGATTAATTTTTTTTTAAGGGAAGAAGTATTAAAGCTGCTTCAACTATTACTACTACTACTCCTACTGTTACTGCTGTTGTCGTTAATGTAAATCTTCCCCAGATAAAAAACTATGTACAACACACACACTCATCATGTCAATATCTATAAATAATCACGTATTTTACATTGAAATAAATAAAAAATTCATCAAAAAATGAGCACATCAAACCATATTTTGCTACAACCAATCACCAATTAGACAACATTGGATCATATTCAAAATACTTCAATCCGATTGGTTAATTTCTAGTCAAGTAGTGAGAGAGAAAATTTCACCATGAAACAACGACTAGAAGGTGCAAATAAATTTGGAAAAATTTTAATGAAGAAAGAAAATCTTTTTTAAAAAAAGTTTATGATTCAATCTGAACAAAAAATTTTTAATTAAAAGAGGGGATGGAAGTGTTTATTCACTTTCTGTGTGTGTGTGCGGCTGGTTAAAGCGCCACAAAAATTAAGGTATTTTAATCAGAGATCGTGTATTTTGGGATACAGCTACTTGTTACATTCTTAGTTGGAACTGAACGAACCCAGTAAATTGGTCATTGATCATTCTGTGAATGGTTGCAAAAGACAGAAACCACTAGGTTTGACTCTAGCCAGTTAGCGAAGGCCGTGGATGCGTATTGCTGATGAGTTCCAAATTGAGGCGAAACGGTTGTTCAATGCTTTCAGGTTTCTAACAGTTAACTAACAATGATCAATTCATCATTTCATTTAGTTATAACCATTTCTGAAATCGTTTTCTTCAAATGAACACAAAAACGAGTTACCGTCTATCTATGTCTCAATAGATTTTGCTCAACATTGTATGACACAAGTTTAAATTTATCAAAGTATACGGTTACGTAATCAGCTTTGAATCACACTGTTAATGTAGAGGTTAGAACTAGGTGACAAAGTGCAAATCTTGTCAGATGACCAGTGGCGTTTAAGCCTGTCGAATGTGAGGCAATTACCCACTGAAGACAATAGGTGAGGACCTACAATATTGTGGGTTGATTGAAGTAGGACTATAATACTGTTGAATGAGTCCGGCTCAGTAGTCTAGAGGTTTGCTTACGAGACACCAGGTCCCGTGTTCTATCCTTGATGGTGGGATTGTAAATGAGCATTACTGATGAGTCTCATATTAGATCGACACAGTCCTCCAGTGTTTCCAGGTTTCTAATGATGGTCTAACACTTATCGACTCATTAGTTCAATGAAAAAAAAATTAATCATGAATAATTTGTTTAAAGGATAAAAAACAAGAAAAGGAATATTTACGTCATCATTATTTCGTCAATCGTGATAAAAACAAATAATATATATCTCAATTTTATTAAATATTTCGGATATTTTTTTTTCTCTAAAATTAATCTCTTCAAAAATTGAATATTAAGCAGAGGATGATGGTTGAGAAACAAAAAACGTAGGAAGGTAGATTATAGTGTAAATAACTGACTGATCGAACTGTCTACTTGTAAGTTTTTGAATGACTAGTTTCATCACACTGTTGCTTCTAAGGGGATAGACATATCAATGAACCAGTGGTTTTTCCTTTCTAAATTGATTGCCTCGATAAGTATCATTAAGTCATTAATTATTTTCACAGTCAACATTTTTTTGTACACAATACACTTCGATGTGTCATCCTATTGAACGCTAATCAAGATTTGATTTGTTTTCTCCTAGAGTTGGTTGTAACTGATGGTGTCTTACCAAAGGGATTGGAAGTCTCTTGCATGGACAGCTGGTAATAAACATCTGAATTTTTTGGTTGATATCTTTTTTCTTTCTCCAAGTTCCCACTCCATACAATAGAACTATTCTCGTGTTTATGGTGAAAATTCCAACTTTAGTGTTGCCTGACTGACAGTAGTTTGGAATTCCAGTAGTTGCCCAATAGTAGGAATGCTACACTTAATTTTCCAATCCATATTTTCATATCTGTATCAGTTCGTTATCAATGCTACTGTTCAAGTATGTAAAAGTTTTCACATCCACTAAAGCTTCTCCACCTAAGTGTGATTTGATTGATGATTGTTGTGTTGTAATGGAGGATATTGTTTTAGTCACTGTGTATGTTGTGATCAACTAATGCTGTCACACTGTCCACCTTCGCCTATATTCGTTATTATCTATCTAGGATAGAAACTGAAATGCAACTTTCTAATTACTGATTATTACTGTCAGTAAGGTTAATCGTTCTAAAGACAACTAACTATATTACTGATAAACTATACATTTAAGTTTTGATATATATATATATATATATATATATATATATATATATATATATATATATATATATATATATATGCACACACGCAGACATACTCATTCAGACGCATATATAACCTGCTCAAAGAGACAGTATCAACAACATGGATATCAGCTTTGAATCTGTGATGATAAGTGGGCGTTTCCACAATGGGATAACTGAGGAAAGTATTAGATTAAGAAAAATAAATCAACCTATCACTAATAATAATAATAATAAACATAATTATTTATGTCTAAGTTGTTAATTAATTTGTTTACGAAATATTTTCAAATATCATTTTCTTTTCATTGTAGAGAAAAAATATTATCATTATTTTTCTGTTAATTTATTAGTTTATTTCATAAATGTTTAATGTAGACAAAATTAAGATGTTTATATACTACTCAGTCAGTAAAATAGTAGGCTATATAGTTTTTCTTGTAAATGTTTGAAATTATGAATTGATCAATGTTAGGCCGCTGTTAGAGAAGAAACCTGGAGGAGGAGGCACTGGACGGTCGTTTCGTCCCATTATGAGACTCATCAGGGGCAATGCGCATCTACGACTCCTGCTACTCACAGGATTCGAACCAAGGACTTTCGACCTTGTAAATATTTAAATTTACTATGGGCAGAAAAAATAAACCAATCCATTTACAAAATGAATAAAAATGTTGTGTAGATTATCATCATTATTTTTTCAAATATGAAACTAGTAATCTTGAAAGGCAGTCATACTTACCTGCCTGAGATAATTGATTGCACAAAGTAACATTGAGGTTGGGCTCTTAGATTTTATTGTAATCGAAATAGATTCATTTTTACAATGTCTTTTGTTGTTTTCCAACTCAACTTAGAAACTTATTTAGCATCTAACACAATAGGTTTTTTCTGATATGAAGTATTTTGTGTGGACAACTGTTTGGATGATGACTTTCGTAGTTCTTCAACTTTCCATTACATGCATGATAACTATTTCAACATTCACATCGAAAATTTTAACTTTGGCGTTGGTTGATAGTTTTTTTTTTTGAGTTCTAGATGTTCTTCACTTGTAGAAATGCTGTTCTCAGTTTGCCAAAACGTATCTTCCTATCTGCATCAGATCCACCTTGTTTATCATTGATGTCAACAATTTCACCTCTTAGAGAGCCTCATTATCAACTATGATTCGGTTGGCACTCATCGCATTCATCTTCTTATTCTTCTTTCTTTTCCATTGTGAATGTTGAGGCTTAATTGTGCATAGAATGCTACTAAATTAATTTTCTTCATTGGCATTTGTTGTTGGTTGTGAGAGAGAAGTGCTAGGTTATTTGCAAAGTTCAAATAAGCTAGCTGTATTCCCCTGAGTTGTTGACGTCTTCATAATTCAACCAACCATTTTTAGGATTAAGAGAAGAGACGAAGAGTATAAGCAACCTTTTCTAACACTAGGCTTGACTTAGAATGAGTCTTTGAGCTGTCCTTCATGTAGGATTTTTCATTGTACTCCGTCATAAAAATTCCGTATGATGTTGACTATTTCCCAAGGTACGCTATAGTATCGAAGAAGATCCCATAATATTCTGCTGTCCATGCTGTCATAGGCTTTATTATATTCAAGGATATTGAAAATGTCTTGCGGTGTAGGCTTTTGTTGTTGATTTCCTTAAGACATATTCATAATGACGTAATATACAATAAAATAATGCTGATATTTGGAATTAATTTTGAATTTTGACCTTACTTTAATTTAAATATCATAATAACATTGATATTTTCCTAAGAAACTATGAAGAAGCTTTGAAAATCTAGTCTATACAAGTTTGGGACCGTTATACATTGGTTCTTATTCACTCAATCACTCACTAACTCACTCTGTAACTAGCTAACTGACTAACTAAATGAA